TGCGTTCTGTACACGGTGCCTTTAATTCACAGCATTCCCTTGGCCACGGTTGAAAACGCCCCTCCGGGCCGACTGTCTGACCAAGGGGGAGAGGTGGTCTACAGTGCAAGAAAATTCAACCTGTTTGATTGGGAGGAATTTCTCTTGAGGTAAAGTGTGATGATGCACCGAAGCCCTGACAGCACTCAGACAGGGGTCTCTACTTCCTCTTCCTTCAGTGTAAACTACTTCCTCTTCCTTCTTTGTGCAACTCTTGTTTTGAAGTAAATCGACAAAATCACACACATCCCTAGCTAAAAATGAACCATCTTTACATCTAGTGGCACTTTGTTGAGAAATGGAGGTGCTGGCGCTGCACGGCATACCTCTGTACATACTTGCCAAACAAGCGCTATTGTGTGTGTGTGTGTGTGTTTTCAGGGAATTTTTTCTTTTCGTTTCTAGTCAGCATAGTGCATGATAGACTCAACGTAGTTCCCAGGGAACAGTCCAGTGACGCCGTTGCAGACGCCTTCAAACCAGCCATCATCGTTCTTCTTGATGATGTAGATGATGGCTCCTTCCATGAATGACAGCTCGTCCTCCTTGTCCTTCGAGTAGTCATAGATGGCCACAACTGGGATGAACAAAAAACTGAGTGAGCATTTCAGAGGCACACTGTATACGTTTGCTTGTCCAGAAAGTCAAATTCAAGCACTTACAGGGGTGAGAACTAGAGTTGGGCATCGACTGGAACTGGGACTAACGGTCACTTATCCCCGGAATTGTTTAAATGTTTTTGATTTTGATTCCTACTTTTGATTCCCAGGCTGCCGATCTGTGGCTAATCTCCGTAAAAATAAATAAATAAATAAATAAACCATGATCCAATTTGGATCAACGCCTTTCAGAGCCGATCACACCAGCTGTCTGTCGCGCCTACGCCGCAGCCCGCAGACACCCAGAGAGCAGACAGGCAGCAGCAAACGCGTAAACAAACACGTCTGCCGAACTTTTACTCCGCGATGTAAACGTTGCATCCTGCAACAAAAAATACGCCGTAGAGGAAGCTTGTTAAAATGCAACAACATGGTTGATTTACCATGATTTTTAAAAACTCTGGGCGGTGTGAGGTGAGTTTCTTACTGCTGAAATAAAAACACACAGAGCAAAAGCATGCGTGTGTGTGTGTGTGTGTGAGCGTGAGAAGGCTGAACAATAACCTGTGGAATTATTCGTCATCATGCTAGAGCAGCTTCTCTGTGGTGGACCACACCGGGTTCTGCCACCAGGAGCAGATAGGGTTAGGTAATAAATAAATAACTAAATAATGATATTCATATAATAAATCTCACAACACGCAAAGTTGTGAGATTTCTTTCTTGAACCATTTAGTCTGTTGAGAGTTTAAATGTTTTAAATCTGTTAGACTGTTACTGACAGCAGCTACTTTTAGGTTTCGGTTTCCCTTCTGACCGAGTCGCTGCTGCAGCATGTGGCTGCAGGCGCCATCCTGCACATGATCATCATGAGAGGTTTAGGAGAAAGCAGCTGGACTTCTTTGGTTATGTTGAAGGCATTTGGCCTCTCATCACAGTTCCCAGACTTTGGCTGTCCTCAGAGACTAAAACACTGATTTTGCTGCAAGTCTTCTTTTTTTTTCTTTCCTTCCTTCCTTCCATCCATCCATCCATCCATCCATCCATCCATCCAAACATGTTTCTGTTCTAAATGGAGGTGATGTTATGGTTCATCCAGTTTCATCAAGTCAGACCTGTGGTTATCTGGCTCATTTAAAATGTCTAATGTTTTTGGACCCTGCCACTTGAAAGAATTGGAATCGGGAATCGATAGGAACTGGAATCAAAACGAGGAATTTGTGTCAGAATCGTTCAAATTCAAACAATGCCCAACCCTAGTGGTAACTCACATAAACTGTAGATAAAAGCCCTGAATGAATGATTCCGTCCCATTAAAGTAAATATTATTGTGTGATAACACCTTCATTATGTAAATCTGATTTTTGTTCTTTGACCTAATCTGAGCTAGGCAGATTTTTACAGTAAATTCATTTTAATCTGGTGCAGCTTAAACAAATAGCTTTACATTCAATTCTAACAATTCAAAATCCCTTCAAGTTGCTGCAACTGTGGTTCTAGCAGGGCTATAGCCTGGGCTGGTAGTTAAAAATACCAGATTTATAGTAATGAAATTAAATATTTAAATAATTTCACGTGACTTCTTGCTTTTATTACAAAACAAAAGTAACATGGCAGAAGAGATGTTCTGTGTTTTGGACAGCTCTGACCTGCTGATACAGATTTTGTCCAATTTATATTAAAGGGACTCTAAGGAAGTTTGACAGCCAAAACATGTATAGAAATAATAAATATCTTCTTCATACATTCTCCTGCAATGCCCTGGTCCTGTAGAATGAGCCCTGGCATTTTTACTGTGATTGCCTGTTTTTCTGTAAAATCACAGAAAAAGAGAGATGCTCGGGTCGAGCAGGCTGCTTCAT